TCCTCATCTTCTCAACCATTTTCTCTCCGAAAAAACTTTCGAGATCCCTGCAATGTCGAAGATCGGTGCACCTTCGCATCGTCGTAGAAGAGCTGCTTGACATATCGAAGATCAGGATCTCAAGGCATATTGTGTCTTCTCAGACAAAATCTCAGGTAAAAAATTTAACATTCTTATGCATTTGATTGTGTTGGTTATATAAAGCATAAGGCATACCTACCTAAATTTCTAAAAAAAAAAGCAGAGCAGAGTTCCCCAGTGCTCTTTAAAGAAGATGATGGTGAATTTGGATAGGTTTTGGTCAAACAAGACTTCGTTTAGTTTGGATTTAGGCCAATTTATTTCATTCTAATAACTTCAACTGCCCTCTCTTATTCTGAGGTCTCAATGCAAGATGAATTCTACACATTTGTCTTAAATTGAGAATTTTTTAATATCAATGTTGGAAATTTTAGATTTTTTTTAAATGGGTATTGCTTGGCTTCAGGTATTAATTCCCCTATGTTGCTCTTCTTCTTAAATTACTTGCTGTCGGTGCTATATTTTATGGTGGCTTTCTTATAGACAGGAGAAAACATTTACAGATACTTTTAATTTCTTAATTAGTTTTAAAAAGTTTTGTGATTGTCTTTATTCTGTATCACTGAAAAATTAAAACCGAGATTGCACATATTCTTTTTATTGTAAAAGCATTTTGGTTACTAAATGCAACATGTTCTGTTCTTTGGGGATCTGAAATAGTTTGTATCTAGAGTTATAGACAAATTTGATATTTGATTTTTGCAATAAAGCAGGTGAAAGAGTCAGAAAATGGTTAGTACTTTTAATTAAATGTTGTTGACTCTTTTTAATGTTTCAAATGTTTTGAGTTTGTTATGTTTATTTATGTATGTTGTATTTGTATTTTCATATTTTTTATACCAGATTTTTTAAGGAGACACATTAGGCATGGGTAGCATATGTAATATCAGATATTTTTCATTGACTTAGTAATCTTTTATAATTTTAATATTGTCTACTGCTTTCAAGAAACATTTGGCCCTATACTTGGGGATGGTTATGATCTGATCTCTCTATTGATGGTGTCAACTATATTCCCACATATATTTTTCTTAATTTTTTTTATTGTTCCATCGAATAATAGCTTCAAAGAATTCTTATGAGACAATCTTCACGACACTGTCTAAGCCTTTGGAGGGAGACAATTTGGTGAGTTTTTATATGTTAGAGAGTTGGAAAAGGATTAAAATCAGTTTTGTGTCCTAATTTTTAGTTCACAATTTTCTAATGAACATCGTCTAATTATCATATTACAACTGATGATTGCATGGTTTAATTGAATGATTATCAAACACTTAGAGGTAGAAAATAATGGAAATTAGAAAGGTTAGTTTTTCTTCCTTTTGTAGATTTGGACAGACAAATCTTTTTTGCATTTGAGTATCTACCATTTTTCCTTCTATAGAATTTTCCACGCATAGGAAAAGGAGGAAGCGAAGCTCGATTTCTGCTTCTCATATACAGAAAAATATCGGTCACTCAATTGTTTGCTAGGTATCTTATTTTTTTTCTATGGTTTTTTTTCAAATGCATAGAACATATAAGTTTTGATTGAAAATTTCGACAAAAAATGAAATAAAAACATAACTAACAAGTGTTTGCATGTTTATCTTTAGCTTGATGCAATATTACTAAATACAATGAAAATGCATTGACATGTAGTGCAGTAAGTTAATGGTTTCAAATCTAATTATTTTGGTTTGATTTGGGACACATGCAGTAAGTTATCTCTTCAACCAATTATCAAATTTTTACATAACTATCCTGCCATGAACTGTGCAGTTTGCACTTTCATGAACTGTGCAATTTGCACTTTCAGATTCATGGAAACTTTTCAAACTTTCATAAATGCCTTACTGGAAAATAATTGAATATATGAAACTATACCTATTGTTTCTTCTTAAAGTTTAAGAAAGGGAATTAGAATAGATGTTTACCACGTTCATAGCAAATTATATCTTGAATAGCTAGACTTTTGAGTAGTTATCTCCGTGTAATTAGTATATCAACATAAGATGCTAATGAGTACATGGGTAATCACTTTGATGTTTTTTGTAAGTCCATTTTCAATAAGATTCTCCTGGCCATTTTATTCTAAAGTGGCACTTTGCTATAATTCTCAAATTAGTTTTTAAAGTAATATCCATGAAATTACATGTTGCAGCCTTGCAGGGACTGAAATAGTGAGAAAGAATTATGGCAAAATGCTAACTTGAAATGTGTTTTATGGCTTAGTTATGAAGATTGGTAAAAAAAATTACACCTTTAGAGGAAAGACTACTAAAGTTCACTTCAATGGTTTTGAGATTTTTATTATGTCTCTTGGTTTAAAGTTCTCGTTGATTTCCACAGCAAAGAGGACAAAGAGGCCTGATGTTCTCAACAAGTTCAAGAATTAGGATGGAGGCTCAAGTATTACCAACAAATACTACAGGTAAACCTTAGGCTTGGCAGAAACAATAGCAGGCATGAGTTGAAGCAATTTTGGCGGGCTGTCTGAAGGCGCATGTTAGTAGGGCGATCTGGCGACTAACTTGCGCCCCCGTTTGGTTTTTCATAGCGAGGAAGAAGAAGGCTAGTGGAAGGAAGATTCTTAACATCGAATTGAGGTCTTCAAGATCCAATTTGCTAGATTTCGAGGATCATATCGATACTCTCTTGGCGGGAGATGATGAAGATTATAGTGTACTGGGATCAACAGGTCCAAAAGGGGAAAAGAAGAAGAAATCTATGGAGGAAATTCTTAGATTCTCTGATTTCTTTGTTAATTCGCAACATCCTTCATGCTCTCCTCGATTGAATGGATTTCAAGCTCGTCAGCTCAGCTCTTGTGATGGCAGCGATGAATCTCATAGGGTTTCATGGGCGGATGAGGTTGATCTTGAGGTAATCTCTTCTTTTCCTCAGAGTTCTTCTTCAAAATCAACAAGAGTTCTTGGATCATCCTCAAATATTTCAGAATCGATAACAGATAAGGCTATTATTTCATTGAAATTTGATAAGAAGAATGATGTTGTAGATAGATCTGTGAATTCAGGAAATAATAATTCTGTTTTTAATGAGGATAATTCAAAAATTCCTCATCTTGTATCTGATTTAATCAAGGAAACTGATGATCGAGATCAGATTAAAGGGTAAGAAAATGAGGAAATCTATGAGGAAAGAGGAACTAAATCTTTTGCTAGTCTCTTCATTGATAATAGGAAATCAGGTAATGGATTGTCTTTAAAATTCATACTATCTGCCAAGGTTTTAAATATCGGTTATCGGGGATTTATCGGACGGCTAAAATCCTTATCGGATAGCGGAAATCGGGGATATATCGGGGATAAGTAGTATTTATCGGAGTGATATACTAAATGATGTGTATATATAATATAACAATTAAAAAATGTAATCTAATCATGCTTAATGAAATATAAACATACCAAAATGTAAATCATCATGTTTAGAATCATTAACTAACTGTAGAAAGCGAAACTTGCATCATAGCCTTGAAAAAATATAATGTTAGTCCAAATTGGCCGATAATCCCGATAATCCCGATAAAAAAGTCTTACTTATCGGCTGATAAGTGTCGATAACGCCGATAAATCGCCGATAAACCTAGAAAAACGATAACCGATTAAAAATCCAATTTATCCTAGCGGAGAGCTCCTAAATCCGATAACTCGGCCGATAATATCGATTATCGGCCGATATTTAAAACAGTGCTACCTGCACAAAACAATACATTTTTGTTCTCTGCTGATGAATGGAAGGAGGGAGAAGATCTTTTGAAAAATACTTTAATTGGGCATGTTATTGGGTTAAATGTCAAATTTAAAGCAATGAAAACCTATGTAAACAAACTATGGGGTAAAATCTCTATACCTAAGGTTTCTTTAATCAAACAAGGGTTATTCCTATTTGATTTCAAACTGAGAAGCAGATGAAAGAAGTTCTTGAGGCAGGTCCTTGGTTTTTTGGCTCAAGACCTTTGATGCTGAAACCTTGGAGTATTGACACTGATATGGACAAGTTGCAAGATCAATACTATCCTATGTGGGTCCAATTTCCCAATTTGAGGTTGAACCTATGGAGCTCAACTGGAATAAGTAAGATTTCCAGCCTCATTAGAAAGCCAATTGCTATTGATATGCTCACTGTCACAAGGCAGAGATTGAGCTATGCTAGAGTGTTGCTAGATGTTAAACTACCATTGGAAGAGCCCTTACCTGATTGTTTAACAATTCAAGGACCTGATGGTAAGAACTATAAGCAACCAGTGTTATATGAATTTAAGTCAAAATGGTGTTCATCATGTTACAAGATTGGTCATGATATTGAGCAATGCAGAAGCATGAAGATGAAGAAAGTTTGGGTTCCTGTCAATAAACAAGTTGGAAAGGATACTCAAGGTGATATTATGCATGTTTCTGAGTCTAAACATACAAAGGTGAATCTAGAAAATGAAATCAATTTAACTAGAACATCAAGTCTGGAAATTCTGGATGTTGAAAAACATGCACAAGCTGGAAAACATGCACATTTAACTAGAACATCAAGTCTGGAAATTCTGGATGTTGAAAAACATGCACAAGCTGGAAAACATGCACAGTCTGGAAATAAGTATAATGCTTTATCTCCCACAACTGGATATGAGGTTTCTTCTGGCTTTCAAAATGTACCAGTTACACAGTATAATGCTTTATCTCCCACAACTGGATATGAGGTTTCTTCTGGCTTTCAAAATGTACCAGTTACACACTTTCAGGAAAACTTCTCATCTCCGGTTATTAATGCATCTGGATTCACCAGTGTAAAACGAGCAAATTTAGCCAAAAGAGTCTTTTTTTGCTGAAGCAGCTTCTGCAGAGGTTCAACCATCACAGTTCTTCTTATTAGAACAGCAGACTCTTAATCCCTCTTGTGTGGATAGAGGGGGAAAATCTTACTAAATGCATTTTGCTATTTGGAACATTAGAGGATTTAATAAATCCTCTAAGCATACAATAGTTAAGCATTTTATACAAGAGTATAAACTCTCTTTAATAGCTCTCCTAGAAACTAAGATTCCTGAAAATAAGCTCCCTATGTTAGCAAGGAAAATTACAAAAAGCTGGAATTGGATATCAAATGTGCATGAAGCCAGAAAATGCAGAATATGGATACTCTGGGATTATGAGTCCTTGTCAATACAAAATGTTATATCAACTGAGCAATTCATTACTTTCTCTATTGAATCCAGATATGGTAAATTCTCTAGTTTATGCACAATAGTTTATGCACTCAATCAAATGTCAAGCAGGAAAATCCTTTGGAGGAAACTGTTGGAATATAAGCAAAATGTAACTGGTCCATGGATTATTGGAGGGGACTTTAATACAATTGCAAGTAGTGAAGAGAAAATTGGAGGATTGCCAGTATCTGAAGCTGATACAGAAGATTTCCAAAATTTCATCAACACTGGTCAATTGATGCATTTAAGAACTACTGGCTGCTATTTTACTTGGTGCAATAAGCAAGAGGCAGAGAGCAGAATCTGGACCAGATTAGACAGATGTAAGCAAGAAGCAGAGAGCAGAATCTGGACCAGATTAGACAGATGTTTAATCAATGAAGACTGGGTTCATCTTTATACCTCCAGTCAGGTGGAATATCTTATGCCTAGATGCTCTGATCATTCTCCAGCTTTATTATCCATTGTTGATGATGATGTGGAGGGTAAAAGACCATTCAAATTCTTTAATATGTGGGTGAAACATTCTGATTATTTCTCAACTGTTAAGTCAATTTGGGAGCAAAATATTGAAGGATACAAAATGTTCAGTTTCCACTCTAAGCTCAAAAAGCTGAAGTATGCTTTAAAGGAATTGAACAAAAAGCACTTCATGAATATAAGTGAGCAAATTTGTAGAGCAAAGGTTGAGCTAGATGATTTACAGAGACAGCTTAGCAATAATCTCTTCAGCTCAGACTTAATTGCAAGAGAAAAAGAATGCATCAAGAAATATGACAGGTTGCTTGACTGTGGATACTCATTTTACAAGCAAAAACCCAATATTAACTGGAGTCTGCAAGGGCATAATGGGTCAAAGTTATTCCATTCTATCATGAAAAAGAAAAGACATCTCAATAAATTCTGTCACTTCATATTGAGGATGGGATTAGAATTACTGATAAATCTCAGGTGATTGCTAAAACTATTAGATATTATAAAAATCTGCTTGGTACCTCAGTTCCTACCTCAACTCCTAATCCTATGGTAATTACAAATGGACCTCAACTCACATCTGATCAAAGGCTAATGCTCAGTCTACCTGTAGAGGAAATTAAGAAAGCTATCTTTTCTATGTCAAATGACAAAAGCCCAGGCCCTTATGGATATATTGCATTCTTCTTCAAAACCACATGGGAAATCATCAGTGATGAATTATTTGAAGCAGTTGAGGAGTTCTTCAACTCAGGAAGATTGCTTGGTACATTCAATGTCACTTCTATCACTTTAATTCCTAAAATTCTCAACCCTCAGCTTGCTTCTGAGTACAGGCCAATATCTTGCTATAATTGCATATACAAAATCATATCTAAAATCATTGCATCTAAGATCCAAAAAGTTATGGGTTCTTTAATTAGTGATGCTCAAAGTGCTTTCATTAAGGGAAGACTTATATCCAGCAATATCCTCCTGGCACATGAAATCGTCAAACATTATGGCAGGAAGCATACATCCCCTAGAGCAATTTTGAATATTGACTTGAGAAAAGCTTTCGACACAATTAGCTGGGATTTTATCAGAGTAATGTTGGAAGGTTTGGGTTTTCCTGAAATCATGATTTCCTGGATCATGAAGTGTATTACAACATCTAAATTCTCCATATCTATTAACGGTTCTTTTCATGGATATTTTCAAGGAGCTAGAGGACTTAGACAAAGAGACCCAATTTCACCATACTTGTTTGTTATTGGAATGGAGTACTTGTCTAGGAAGCTAAACACACTCAAGGATGATAAGCTCTTCAAATTTCATCCTAAATGTTCAAATCTGAAGCTAACTCATCTTATCTTTGCAGATGACCTCTTATTGTTTAGCAAAGCTGATTTGTACTCAATATCAAGATTATGATACTATCTTAAGGAATTCAGTCAAGTTTCTGGGCTGGAACCAAATCCTTCAAAGTGCACTGTCTTCATGAGTGGGGTTGATGATAATATGAAGTATCAAATTTGTGCTCATCTAAATTTCTCTGAAGAAATTTTACCTATTAGGTACCTGGGCATGTCATTGATTTCAAGAAAGCTTTCTTGGCTTGATTACAATCCCCTTATTAACAAGATAGCAGACCAAATCCATAGTTGGCAAGGTAAGAGCTTCCTGTCATACGCTGGGAGGTTGCAGTTAATAAAGTCAGTTATTATGGGCATTCAATTTTTTGGATAAGCAATTACATCTTACCTATAAAAGTGCTAGAGAGGATTGATAGCATGTGCTCTGATTTCTTATGGGGACACAAAATTCATTTGGTCTCTTAGAATTCAGTTTGTCAGGATTTTAAACAAGGTGGTCTGGGTTTGTTTTCTGTCAAATTCTGGAATTATGCAACAGCTGCTAAATTGCTTTGGATGATACATCTCAAAAAAATCATTCTTTGGATCAGATGGGTTCATGACCACTACTTGAGACAAACTGATATCTGGCAGGTTCAGGTAAAAGAAAGTGACTCATGGATGTGGAGGCAACTTATAAGAGTAAGGAATATTTTGAAGAACAAGTCTGGAAGTGTGGCTAACTTGATGAATGTTATAAATAGCTGTTGTACCAATGGCAAAGTCAGTATCTCTTCTATTTACAGAGCTATATTCCAGCAACAGAGCTTGTTTGAAGGATCAGATACTATCTTGGGGGTGGCATTACCCCAAGCACTCATTCATTCTATGGCTAGCATCCCTTTCTAAATTACTCACACAAGATAGATTGTGTAATATGAGGATGCTAAGCTCAAATCAATGTGTTTTATGCTCTACTGGTCATCAAGCTGAGACCTGCCAGCACATTTTTTTTGAATGCTAGTATTCTGCTTGTGTCTGGAATAAAGTGATGGAATGGATGAAATTCAATTGGAGATCATGTTCATGGGATCTGATTTTGAACTGGTATAACAGGAGCTTGAGGGGAAGAAGCTACAAAAAGAAAGTGAAAAGAGTTACACTGTCTGTTTCAGTGTACATGTTATGGCAAGAGAGGAACTACATAATTCTCCAACAGCAGAGAGCAGCTAGAAGCCCAGATAATCTCTTCCGTGCAATTAAAATTAGTGTATATACAAAGATTTTGAATGATAAAATACCACAGTATATGATACAATATATAGAAAGCCTATCATAATGAAGACTGGATTTCTAAAATCAGTCTGTTGATTTGTAACTTTGATATGTACAAAACTTCTCATACTTGGTGATGAATAAAATTTTTATTCATTGACCAAAAACAAATACTACAGGTAGCGACCTTTTTAGAACACTACCAATATAATAAAATTTCTTTAGCTCATGTAATTGCCATAAATTACAATTAGTTTGTGGTGTCATCTTTCTCACTTTATTTCCATACAGTTAGTTTGTGATGCATCTCAAAGTGAGTATACTTGCTCAGATTCATGTCTGAATGTCTGACAACTTATCTTGGTTACTATTCTTATGATGATTTTTTTAAATGTTTATTTTAGTATCATTGTATCACAAGGGAAATATTAAAAAATAAGAAAAATAAGATACCTACCGTAAGCTCGACATTGTAAATCTTAAATGTTAAATGTTCTTTCTTTCTTTGCTACTACTCTTTTTTTTTGTTCTTTTCATGATCTATTATGATTTTTTTATTGGGTTAATTTTTCTGCAATAAAGGTGTTTGACGAATTCCTCTTCAATCAAGTGGAGTACAAAAAGGAAAGCCAAATAATTTTGCTGCTGCTTTCAATGGAAAGAACCACAGAGTCCTCCGAGACATCGAAATCTTTACTCCTCTTTCAAGGTATGGGTTGTCTTTCTTTGAATTCCGAATTAAATATATAGATATGTTTTATTTATGGATCTTATGCTTTTGTTTTGAATCTTTTAATATACCAATCAACGTAATTTGATAAAAGAAAATCTATTTATCTACGATAATTTCAATTCATAATGTAAAGTTGTTTATAAACAAAATATTAATAAATAAAACTAAAGTGGCATTATACAAAACGCTAGAAGCAATACACACAGGGGTACATATTATGTGTTAACAAAGAGCACTAATCCATGCTTTGCACGGAGTAACCACTAGTTGTATGTGATACAACTTGCTAATTTTGGTGTAAGGACTTGCATATTTGGAAATTAAGTAAATCAGGATTCATGGGGCACTTAATTTCTTTCTCTAGTGGCACTTAATTTCTTTCTCTAGTTGTAGCCACTTGACTTGGTTATATCAGCGTTGAAAGTTAATGATAGAAAGGATAGATGAGATGGAGTTCAACGATTTGATTTCCTCCTCTAATTATAAAGGAGTTGATACGTGCATTAGAGGAGGAATATAGCTAATGTCGATCAAATAAATTACGAGAAATGGGAGAGTATCCTGCACTCTCATCCCAACCATCCAAACTCATTGTACTCATGAATTATTTAACATGAGGTATATTTAAGGCTCTAATTAAGAGCTAACTCAGGACATGGGAAGACCAATGAGGGTCGGTAGGTTATGAAACTCCTAAGGTAATTTCTCTTATCGTTTCACCTGTTACTTTTTTCTCCATATATGTCATTTATCTTTGTATGGTAGGGGAAAAAAGCTTGTCTTAGTGATATTGTTGTGCTATCTAGAATCACATTTAACAATTTAAAATGCAACATTTGCTAGTCCCCCCATCTCTTCTATACTTACTTTCCTATCAATTTTTATTTTTGCTTTTAGAAACCAACATGAGATGGAAGAGAGAATTAGTCATCCCCTAGGATGAAGTGATTAACCCAAGTCATGTATGTTCATTCGTATGAGATGGTGGTAATTTTTTGAGTAGATGGAGACAACAAGGAGCTCATGTGTCTTCTACTCATGGCTGCTACTATTCAGTCATACCAGGCTGGCTGAAACGATGACAAAGTGGAGATGTTACCCACAAGTTAAACTTTTACTCATGTAGGTTTTTTCTATTTGGAGTAACATTTAATTAAAATTAAGCTTCATTAAACTTGTTGAAGGTAGTTGTATGAGCAAAAGCTGCATCTTAAACTCATTAGTATTTACATTTACAGATGAGTTGTGTGTATTATTGTATGAGACTTTCAATATATAAATGGTACTCTGTGTGTGTCTCTGTGTGCGTGCGTGCGTGTGTGGTGTGCGTGTTAATTACAAAATACAAATTACTCAGTGTGTGCACACACACGTCAGTTACAAATTACTGTTCAATTTTGAAAAGCCTCTTGTACGGTTACTTCAATGGTTAAACTTCAAAGCCCGTGCAGTTAGCAAAAATACGGACAGTTTTATTCGTAATATCTATCTGCATACTTGTCTTATAGAGGATGAAGTTTTTTCATAGTAGATTCAAGATGCTACCGATTTGTAATCTGGATGGTTTCAAATATATGCTTCAATAGGGAAGCTTACCTTCTTTTACTTCTTTTTGTTAAATATATTAAGTGCACATAATTGTAGGGTATTATCACATTTTGATCAGCAAGGCATATTTATGTGTTCAGGAAGCTTCGATAGCCAGGCATATATGTATCAGAGCTCCAAATCTCGCCTCCAATTAATTTATATTCCCTTGCTAATCGAAATTATATCCAAATCCAAAGTAACATTAAGATTGAATAAATTGAGTTGGAAATTCTCGGTCCAAGGTTCACTTCTGACAGTGGTCAACATTTAATTTAAATTCGAATATGAAACTGAAATCAGATCTGAAATTGAAGACAACTTAATTTTCTGATTACAATCTTGTTTCCTTCAATCGTGACGTTGTATCTCTGAAAATTCAGTCTAGATTAAGTTTTTATCTTTGATCCCTGCAGCTTTGCTTCTCTTTGTTGTGGTTTCGTTTTCTCATGAAGATTCTCCTTGTGAAGACCACTACGTTCACAACCTCCATTTTATGCTAGGTCATAAATATCCACCATTGTTTCCTAGATTACAAAATGCCGCTATATACAGATGTCACTTGCTTCACATCATAATGAAATCGTGAAGCCATCATTATATGTTCAATTTTTTAACTTCTTAATCTTGGATACATCTATAGGTCTTCGATATGTTTGTAACATCTCAGTCTTGTGGCCTTGTATACATCTATTATATGTCTTTGATATGTGTAACTCCTACCATAAATTGGAAATTTCTAAATACACCAAAAGGAGTATCTGAAATGTCCACATCAAGTATCTGTATCAGAGTGTCAAAGTCAATATGCATCTGATACGTGTATGTCTATTTCATCAAAGTAACCATAAAATATGGACAGTTACTAGTAATTGACTGTTCCTCAGATTGAACTATCCAAGGTACAGTTGCCTTAGTGTGCTTGTCGCCCAGGAGGCGGGTTCTATGTGTATAGGGATGACAAGGGTTCTGACTATATTAAAAACCTATCTGAGGTTTCCTCTTTGACTCTTTCCAAATTTCGAGGCAAGGAGATTTAAGGTTAGTTGCATATGCTGGATGAAATCAAGTTTGATTATTGGAAATTCTCAGTATTTAATTAATAGCGAAGGAAAAATTCACTTGGACAAGAGGCTCAAGGCAAGGTGATACACGTTGGTATTGATAATTAAGTCAGAAAATCAATATTGCTATATGAGAAAGGTCTAGGATAGCTATGGTTGGTTCAAGTCATTAAGGTTACAGCATGAAGATGATACAGTTGCCATTCAATGATGGGAGAAAAATCAAATTTAAGAATCTAAAGCCTTTATTTATTTCATCGAGAAAACTTTTAGTCATTGCAATTTGGTTCAACGGTGATGTTCAGATGCAAATGGTAGCTTCTCTTCAACATACTCTAGTGTTCCCTTGAATACGAGAAAGGTTAACAGGCTCAATTGGCAACTTACTATTTGTAAGAGCAAATAGGGATTTTGCCGGTCAGAAAGAAATTTGTTAATTAAGTAGTACATTTGCTTTAGTTAATTTAGTACAACAGAAAAGAAATATGGCTCTGAAGTCTATGTGGGTTTCTACTAAAATTATTGAGATGGTGTATTAACTGTTGGCGGTGCTTTTAGACTTAATGAAACTTCAACCGCATCACGTTTCATCCACCACAAGGTAGTACAAAGATCCAATTTGGAATCGCAAGCTAGCCAAAATGCAAAGCCATTTGTCTGCTCGCCATTAATTGCAAACACAAACAATCTTATACACTAAGTGTCCCTTGACGCAAGTTACATTACCCTATAACCTGAATTCAGTAACAGAACGATCATCTCAAACTCAACCCGTAATAATACTCGGATAATACATCTTAAACACCGCTATGCACAAAATACCAATTAATCCAAACATGCTCTCAGGCAACACAAAAGAGAAAAAGAGCAAGAATTTTAAGAAAATTACCACCGCGCCCGTGTTCATGTGACTGATATCCGCAGTAACACCAGGGGCGTTAACAACATCATAGAGATGAAGAACTGACACCAAAGGATTCATCTTCATCAGCATCGCAAGAGGCTGGCCTATTCCTCCAGCAGCACCCAAAATCGCAACTTTGAACCCTGGAGCCCCTCCTTTTGATCGGCAATCCAAGCGCGTCAGTGAAGAACTCTCGTCCATCTTCAATTTAAAAAAAAAGTCAGTAATAAAATCTAGTAGAAAACCTAAATTCAGCAACTGGACTAAAATCGACTGGTCCTCCTCTCTATTACTTCGTGAACCCCTACCAAGATCCCAACTTTTTATCAGAGACCCAAGCATAAAATCGAAAACCAAGAAAAACCCAGAACCGAAAAGTGCAGAAACGTCGAGAATTACGAGAAAATCAGTCAAATTGTAGAGGATTGAAAATTGACCTGAAGGTTAGAGGGGTTCAAGTGAGCAGAGATCCTCGCGATGCGCCGCAAAGCTTCAGATTTGGGCTCCATCGTCTACACTCTGATGTCTGAAAAAAGTTCAAAGAGAGAAGGGAGAAGGGAAATCTTGAGATGGAGAAAGCTTGGCCGCTGGATTGAGTTCGTTGCAGAGAGGAAGACGGGAAGCCGACGCGACCGAGATTAAAAAGGATTGATGATATCAATTATATATATCAATTCAATTTTGTGGAGAATCGGGTAGCGTGCCACTGTGGAAAGTGGAACCTGGACCCCAATCATTATCGTGCTGGCTCAAGTTCCCAGGCTAAATAGCACTTAGAAAAATTCCTCAATGACCCAAAATATAGGATCAATAGGGGGACAAGTGAGGTGTCCCCCTCCTATTAGATAATGAGTTGATCATCATTAATGATGACCAACTCATTATCCAATAGAAGAGGGACACCTCACTTGTCTCCTCTATTGGTCTCATATTTTGGATCCCTGTAGTAAAGCTCTAGCACTTATAAGGGGCCGTTTGGTTGGTTTCCTAAAAGGGGGTGTTTGTTTCAAATCCTAAAATTTCAAGATATGGATTTCAACATAGAATTTGAAATCCATAAATTTTTTTGTGGTTTTGGGATCTCTAAAATGTTGTTTGTTTCAACAAAATTTTAGGATATGAAATACCAAAACTTAGAATGTTTTGTTTGTTTCAAACTTAAATTATAGCATTACAAATTTTAGAATTTGAAATCCCAAATTGTAGCAAACAAAATTTTTGATCACCAAAATAATGATTGGTGAATTTAAGAATTTTTGGTGAGCTTACCCCCCATAAAAAAACAAAAACTCTTGTATTTACTCTTCAAGCAAGCCCATAAGTGAAGATGAAACTGAAACTGAAACATAAGCTGACCCAAAGCCGAGTCTCATATACATGTTAGCTCAGTCAAAGTCACCAGCACAATCAAGTCCAGCAAGCATACAAGGCATTCTATAATAATGATGTAGAAGAATAAGGAGGTAATGTAGCCAAATCAAAAGCAACAAACCCAGCAACCCAAAACACAGACCTCCTGCGGAGTTAATGCACAGACCTCCAGCAACAAATGCTCAAGCACAAGCCACCAAAAAAAAGCACAAGCCATCAAGATATGGTCAACAAGCAAACTGTATATGAGAGTCAAAAATTGAATACATGCCCCTTTAACAAAAAATTAAACAAAACATGTATATGATACTATGTACAAAAGTATGGTTGTGGCTCAAAATTAACCAAAACCTGTAACTGAGACTGTGTACAAAAGTATGGTTTGTTTCAGACCCCAAAAGTCTTTCCCCAAATCAGAGTAGTTGAAACAAAATATACACTCAACGTTTGGATCCTCATAACGAGTAGTTGAAACAAAATATACACTCAACGTTTGGATCCTCATAACTTGCTAGTATGGTTCAAGCTTTTCTGCATAAAGAAAAACAAAGGAATAAAGTACATAGAACAAATATTGCACATGAATGAGATTACCAATAAATTTGAAGTAACCAAACCACAAATATCTAGGGAAAAGACTTACCTGTGTACAAAATTATGAATACCAAGGCTCATAGAATAATGATGTAGAAGAATAAAGAGCTAATGTAGCCAAATACTAAGGTAACAAACCCAGCAACCCAGACCACCAGCATGAAATCTCTTAATAGGACCAAGTTAGGGGCTCAGATATAGGTATTAAAATTGAATACATGGATTGCCTCAACTAACAATGGTGTTGCAATGTAGGTTGCAATCAAATGAATGGATTGCCTCACCGAACATTGTCGATGCAATGTAGGTTGCAATCACATGAATGGATTGCATTACCTAACATTGTAAATGCAATGTAGGTTGCATTCTCATCCTAGATTGCCCTACCTAAACATAGCAACACATTGTAGATTGCATTCTCTTAACTAAGACCATCATCATTGCCCACTTAGAAGAATACAAAGTAGCCAGTGAAAACAACCATTGAAACAAATACACTTGTATTTACCCTTCAAGCAAGCCCACAACTCTATAAAATAAAACTGAAACTGAAAAATAAGCTGACTCAAAGTCTGCCAGCGACAACTCTATAAGATGAAACTGAAACTAAAAAATAATCTGACCCAAAGCGGAGTCTCATATACATGTTAGCTCAGTCAAAGTCACCAGCGACAACCACGTCCAGCAAGCATACAAGGCATTATAGAATAATGATGTAGAAGAATAAGGAGGTAATGTAGCCAAATCAAAAGCAACCAACCCAGCAACCCAGACCACCAGCGGCAAAAACACAGACCTCCAGCGACAAATGCTCAAGCACAAGCCACCAAGTTTAAAGCACAAGCCATCAAGAACAAGTCAACAAGCGAACTGTATATGAGAGTCACAAATCAGTTTCAGGCCCCTTTAACAAAAGATGAAACAAAAGTATGGTTTGTTTCAGGCCCCAAATCAGTTTCAAACCCTCCAAGCAAGCCCACAACAAATACCCAGCAAGGAATACATGGATGATGTAGAAGAATACCCAGCAACCCATTGAATGGATGTAGAAGAATAGCAACCCAAACCATTGAAACAAATACCAAGCAACCCAGCAACCCAGACCACCAGCAACCCAAAAAATTGAAACAAATACCCAGCAACCCAGCAACCCAAACCATTGAATGGGTGTATAAGCTTTCCCAAACCATTGAAACAAATACCCAGCAACCCATCAACCCAAATCATAGAATGATGTAGAAGAATAGCAGAGAAAATGTAGCCAAATCAAAAGCTTCAAACCCAGCAACCCAGACCACCAGCATGAAAACTCATAATAGGATCAAGTAAGGGGCTCAGATATAGGTATTAAAATTGAATACATGGATTGCCTCATCTATCAATGGTGTTGCAATGTAGGTTGCAATCAAATGAATGGATTGCCTCACCGAACATTGTCGATGCAATGTAGGTTGCAACACATGAATGGATTGCCTTACCTAACATTGTAAATGCAATGTAGGTTGCATTCTCATCCTAGATTGCCCTACCTAAACATAGCAAAACATTGTCGATTGCATTCTCTTAACTAAGACCGTCATCATTGCCCACTTAGAAGAATACAAAGTAGCCATACCAATACATATCGTGCAATGTAGGTTGCTATCAAGTATCATATCCAATGATATTTATATAAACCTGCAAAAGAACCAAAGTTATAATGAGATTGCAATTAGAGTAGTGAAATTAGTTACATCATTAAGGTGTTAAACTTACAAAATTAATAACATAAAGCTACACCACTAAGTGTTCAACTTACAAAATTAGTTACATCATTAAGTTGTTAAACTTACAAAATTAATAACATAAAGCTACACCACTAAGTGTTAAACTTACAAAATTAGTTATATCATTAAGTTGTTAAACTTACAAAATTAATAACATAAAGCTACACCACTAAGTGTTCAACTTACAAAATTAGTTACATCATGAAGTTGTTAAATATACAATGAGTTTACAAAAGCAATAGATATGTCAAGTCTTCAAAAGTAGTGCAATATCAAGTTTTCATAAGTCAAACCCTTGCTCGTTGATAATCTTCTCTATAAATAGCTTTTGAGAATTTTTGGTTTTGATGATCAACCTCCTAGATTCTGATTCATGGTCATATCCAATACTCCCTCAGAAAATTCACTCTCATGCGTCATTAGAGCATTCGCCATGGTCTCACTCCAATGCACAACACGTTGATGTACATGTTGATTTTGAATTGAGAACGACATCGTGTCAATTAAACCACGCATGAGAGTCTCATCCTCTTTAGCCTTGCTACTCTTCTTCCTAGGAGTTGATGTATCAATTGATGCAGAAGCTACCCCACTAGAAGCCTTCGATTTATTACTTTGAGAGTTGTGGTTTTGCCCACTTGATTTCTCGGACTCAAGACGTGGGCTTGGGGACAAATCAACCTCATTATCACTAAGTATTACATGATCCTCATCTCTATCCGTATCATGTTGTCTAGAACCAAGCTTTTCAGTCATATCTTTGGTGAAATCACCCTTTGCTTGGTCATCTCCCGCGATATAACACAAGTTCTCATAGTGAATGAGGGGAGTGTTCAAATACTCCTTCAATCTAGAGCTATTGCATTTTTTTTCCTGTACAATGAAATGTTGCAAAATCAGTTACTAAGAAGTAAATATTCAAAGTTTGCTTATTTATCAAAAATATTACCTGTGTCCACCTATCAAAACAATCTGGATCCATGGTGACAATCTTAGTTTGTGGATCATAACCAGCCCCACTCATGTCCATGACAGTGCGCATATCAAAATATTTACCCTTCAAGGACTTGACATGGTTCATGACATTCTCCTTTGTGAACTCAGTGCCACACTTCTTGTTGACCTCCTCTGCAGCTCTTCGATATGCAAGCACCTTAAAGTTTTTATCAACTTTAAGACCATCCTTTGCCATCTGAGCAAGGAAGGGGATTAACACATCATCATTCTTTGCAGTCCATTTAGCATTAGGCACCCCCCTTGTATTCTCTTTTTTGTACAGCACCTTTGGTGGCATTTTTCTTTTAATAACTGCCCGCTTCTTGCTTTTGCTTTTGCTTGGTGAGGCAGCATCATCCTCAAGGTCAATTGCCATTGGCCTCTTCAAAGAATGAGTCTCACTTGAATGGGTACTAGGGGAAGTGTGGATAAGTGGGTGGCCACTGTTAAGCATATTCATAAACGATATGGGTTGTTGAGTCATAAATGAGTAGTTCATATCATAAGGATTGTAAGATGGATAAGTCGGTGGAGCAATGTATTGGGGTGGAGGGAATGGTTGTGTAGTGGGTGGTGGGGGAACCGGGAAGTATGGATAAGTGGGTGTTGTTGGTGTTCTAGGTGAAGTATTCCTGAACTTATCACTTTCATTAGAATCTGCCATGACTGATTGCTACAAATTAAAATAGACAAATAACAAATTTCAAACCTCATGTTAGTACAATAATAGAGTACGGACATCAAAAAGTAGCATTCATAACGCCCGATCCAAAAAAATGTATGCAAACAAGCCACTAAGCTCATATAATCAAGGTTGCAAACAAGCACAAAATTAAACAGAACCGCAAGTTGGATATACACAAAAATAGCATGCGAAAATGATAATATACTCATTTATCCATGAGTATTGTTGTAACATGAACGAATACATAGAGGTAGTAGACAATATATAAACGAGTACAATACCAAAAGGAGAATATAACTAAGATTACATCCCGATCTCGGTTGTGTCTCCACCGCGCCATTTAGCACAATAATCTTCCCACATTTCAATTGCAATTTGATCCCTCTTTGCTCTCCATTCATTTCTTGAATCTCTTTCCTCTCTTTGTGTCATAGTTTGAGTAAAGTCAACAACACCCTCTTCACCTTCATAAGCTATTTCATCTCCATCCTCTTCAATATGGTTATCCTCATGCAACAACTCATCGCCCGGGTCTTCTATGGCGATATAGTTATGAAGTATAGTACATGCAATAACTATATCAACTTGAGTTGGAAAAGGGCAATGTGGCTTCGCGGATAGGATTTTGAAACGATTTTTTAATACCCCAAATATTGATTCAATTTTAGACCTTAGGGATGAGTGTCTTAAATTGAACAACTCTTGTCTATTATTGATTGGCCTATCCTTGTGCTCATTTAGATGATACCGCACTCCTCGATATGGGGAGATAAAGCCATGCATAGTAGTGTAGCCCGCATCACATAAATAATATTTTCCTACATTTATCAAAAAGAAATTTAGTATATTTTTTAATTATAATTAAGTAGACATACTTTATTTGATTGATTTATTACCGTCGTAAACTCTCAATCCGCGAGGTTGTGGTCTAGATAACGCGTCTTGCAAAACTCTATAATCATTTGCGGATCCCTCCCATCCAGCTAGAACATACGAAAATAACTTGTTGGGAGTGCATGCAGCTAGAACATTTTGAGTTACACCTTTACGACCTCTAAAACGTGCAACAAGGCTAGCGGGAAGCATGGCGTCGATATGGGTTCCATCTATCATGCCAATACAATCCTATATGATACATTAAACAGTTATTAATAATAGAAAGGTAAAATTAATTGTTTGATTATGAGTAGTTATATTATAATAATGATTACCTTGAAATAAGGATAATATAACGGGTTAGTGGCAATCTCTGGTGATACTTCATTTGGTGCTTGCTTCATGTACCGCCCCCTTAAACGACCAACGACTTCCAAGCACTTGTTAAAGTATTTTGAAACGGTTTCCCCCGATCTTATGAAATGTGACCTAACAATTCTATTTTTTGTTTTATGGCCTAATATATTAAGGAACATGAGCAATTGTTCTTCTACTTTAACAACCCGTCCATCTTTTAGTAGACCAGTATATCTCATTATGCTAACAAGATTATGAAATGCACGCGGCCTCATTCTAACATAAGCCCTACAACTCTCATTATAGCCACTAAACACACGACTTATGTGCCTAGCTCTCATATCTATCTTCTCTTTATTTTTCACCTTACATTGATAAGTGATTGATTTCCGTCTACTACGTATCCTCATCAAACATGTAAACATACAAATCACCGCGGATATAGTAGCATTAGAAGCCATCCTCGTTAACATCTCTTCATCAATGTCGTCCATCTACATTGTTTTAAAAAAACTCACAAAGTCACAAAATTGAAAAAAGCACAAAAACAATCTATATAGTATTGATCATTCATTGTTGATAATATTTGTTGCGAGCTGGAACTTTTGGTAAATGAAAATTTTGGTGGAAAATGAAAACTGAAAAATTGTGCATCCTCATTGTTTTACTTTGTTGTACTTCTCTATGCATACAGATGATATGGTTCTCATGACAAGCTTGTTAAACAATTCTAAGTGATCAATACTATCCGCCCATTTGATATATTGATAATGCTTTCTCTGATTAAGAGGGAATCCAAAGCATGGCATGTTAGCTAATTAGACATATATTGTTGTTTGGATTGTGACTTAAGCATTGTCATGACTGATACATCTCGAGCACATAATTAATTGTGCCAAATAACTAACTGATTTAATTGTGACTTAAGCACAGTCAGGACTGAAAAATAGATCCGAAAATTTTAGTCTAATAAGTGTGCCAAATAAACTTGATCAAACTAAATCAATTGCATATGCCTTACCACATATTAATTTCAGCTAGAACACCCCAATAACAAAACTAAATCCATCAATTTTACAAAGAAACCCTAATTTATGGAGGAAGGCAACGAGTTTTACCTGCCGAGGAGGAGACACAGTTGGTCAGAGAAATGTTCGGGCAGACAGAAGTCCGGTTGAAATAACCGAATCCCCAAATCAAGTTACCCCCAAAACCTCAAGATGAGTGGAGAAGAGGCAAGGCGGCTTGCCTGGGAGTTGGGGACGCTGAGGAGGAGGCGGAGCCCGCTGAAGTTGGGGTGGAGAGGAGGGAGGGGGTGGCGTCGCAATCGGGGTTCGGCGGGAACGAGAGCTAGGGTTTCGCGCGGAAATGGAGACGGCGGGTAAAAGAGGACCCAGACGAAAGCGGTGAGTTTATGCTTCGCTATGGGATCCGGAGTTGGGAGAGCGGAGTTAATGCTGAGCTGGACGCGATATGTCAGAAATCCAGCCCACATCCACTACAAAAAGTAGGATTTTAGAAATGCTAAAAAATATTAGTATTTTATAGTTTGGGAATTTGATATCCCAAAAGTTTTTTTGAAACAAACTTGATTTATGGATTTCTAAAACCTCAAAAAACCACTTTTTACATCCCAAAAACTCAAATCTACACTATATCCCAAAAAAAAACAAAACAAACACCCCAAAACCAAGAAAAGAAAATCGGTACAATGAAACCAATAAAATAATAATTTTATTCATTTCCATCCTTAAAACTCACCTACAACATTCAATAAAATAATATTTTTATCCTCCAACTTATCTCATTTCATCTTATTTCTTACCTTTAAAAATAAACCAAACACAAGAAATGTGTCACATCATCCAACTCATCACATCTCATCTTATCTCAATTTTTTAAAATCACACACATCATCCAATAATATTGTGACAACTCATCTCATCTCATTAAACCTTCCTTTCCATCCATTTTCTTAAAAAAACAAGAAATTGATTTCCTTAAGTATGTGTCACATCATCCAATAATATACATCCAACTCATCTCATCTCATCTATTTTCTTATTTTTAAAAATGAATCAAACACAAACAACCTCAAAACATCATCCAATAATATACCTCCAACTCATTTCCTTATTTTTTTTAACCAACCAAACAACCTCAAAACAAGTTTTTTTAAAAAAAAATCACTCACATCATCCAATAATAAGGTGATAACTCATCTCATCTCATCTCCTATTCTATAGTTTAAAAATCACTCACATCATCCAATAATAAGGTGATAACTCATCTCATCTCATCTCCTATTCTATAGTTTTCTTCTTTTTTAAGCCAACCAAACAACCTCAAAACAATTATTATAGGAAATAGGTTTTCTATTCTTTGATTTCCCTTTTTTTTTGCGAAACGAACAGCCCCTAAAAGAAAAAAAAATTGGAAAATCAAAGAATAGAAAATCAAAGAATAGGAAAACTTGTACTATGGTTGATTGGTTGGCTAAGGGGCCGTTTTGTTGGTTTCCTTAAAACCAAGAAAAGGAAATTGGTACAAGGAAATCAATAAAATAATATTTTTATCCATTTTCCTCCCTAAAACTCACTCACAACATCCAATAAAATAATATTTTTCCTCCAACTCATCTCATTTCATCTCCTTTCTTACCTTTAAAAATAAATCAAACACAAGAGATGCGTCACATCATCTAACTCATCACATCTCATCTTATCTCATTTTTAAAAATCACACACATCATCCAATAATATTGTGACAACTCATCTCATCTCATCTCATTAAACCTTCATTTCCATCCATTTCCTCAAAAAAAACAAGAAATTGATTTCCTTAAGTATGTGGCACATCATCCAATAATATACCTCCAACTCATCTCATCTCATCTATTTTCTTATTTTTAAAAATAAACCAAACACAAACAACCTCAAAACATCATCCAATAATATACCTCTAATTCATTTTCTTATTTTTTTTTAACCAACCAAACAACCTCAAAACAAGTTTTTTTTAAAAATCACTCACATCATCCAATAATAAGGTGACAACTCATCTCATCTCGTCTACTATAAGGGGGTGTTTGGTTCAATTTCTAGAAATTATAGGAAATGTTTTCCACTTAAAATATGATTTCCTTGTATTTCTTAAAAAAATTATAGGAAAAGTTTTGAGAAATCAAAAAGTACTAATTTTCTTGTTTTTTGTACTTTGCTTGTTTGGTTCAAAACAAGAAAATGGCTCATAACTTTATAGAAAATAACAAGATTTGGTAGGTTTTTAATTAAATATGGTATGTGTCAGATTTCTGGTGATTTCCTCTCATTTTGAGAGGAAATTGTTTTTTGTAAAATTTGGTAGGTTTTGATTTTTTATAGAAAATATTTCTGTAAATTTTTTGTTGAACCAAACACAATTTACAGAAATCTCTGGAAAACTTTTAATTACAAATTTACCATTGTCAGATGTTTTGAGAAAAGTTTTCTCAAAAAGTGTGCAACCAAACAACCCCTTAGTTTCCTTCTTTTTTAAGCCAACCAAACAACCTCAAAACAATTATTATAGGAAATAGGTTTCCTATTCTTTGATTTTCCTATTTTTTTTTGTGAAACGAACAGCCCCTAAAAAAGAAGGAAATCAAAGAATAGGAGATGAGATGAGTTGTCACCATATTATTGGATGATATAAGTGATTATTTAAGAAAACTTATTTTGAGGTTGTTTAGTTGGTTAAAAAAATAAGGAAATGTATTATAAGAAACTTATTTCCTATAATATGTTATTTTCTTGTGTTTGGTTCATTCTTAAAAATAAGAAAATAGATAATATGAGATGAGTTGTCATTATATTATTAGATGATGTGACCCACACTTAAGGAAATCAATTTCCTTGGTTTCTTTGAGGAAATGAGTGGAAATAAAATGTTAATGAGATGAGATGAGTTGTCACCATATTATTGGATGATGTAAGTGCTTATTTAAGAAAACTTGTTTTGAGGTTGTTTGGTTGGTTAAAAAATAAGGAAATGTATTATAAGAAACTTATTTCCTATAATAGGTTCTTTTCTTGTGTTTTGTTCATTCTTAAAAATAAGAAAATAGATACGATGAGATGAGATATCATTATATTATTAGATGATGTGACCCACACATAAGAAAATTAATTTCCTTGGTTTTTTTGATGAAATGGGTGGAAATGAAATGTTAATGAGATGAGATGAGTTATCACCATATTATTGGAAGATGTAGGTGATTTTTAAAGATGAGATAAGATGAGTTGGATGATATGACTCATTTCTTGTATTTGGTTTATTTTTAAAAGTAAGAAAAGAGATGAGATGTGATGAGTTGGTGGATAAAAATAATATTTTATTGATAAAAGTGTATAGATTTCCTTTTTTTGGGATGAGTTTTATGGATGGAAATGGATAAAAATAATATTTTAATAGAAAAAGTACAAAGATTTCCTTTTCTTGGTTTTTAGGAAACCAACCAAATAGCCCCTAAATAACAAAAAGTTTCACTCATTTTTCACTTATATACCCCCTTTTCTTTTTGCAGCGTTCATATAATCTAGGTTTATAGGTTCAGCACTTTGATACCTAGTTTTGTTGTACAACGTGAGAATTTTCACCCCAATATTCTCAGAAAGATAACATGTCATTGCTACGCGGGAATATTCGGATGAAAAAAATTCACATTTACGCAATAAAAGGTACCGAATAGTTAATTTTAAACAACTTAAGGTATATAAATGCTGTGAAAAAATGAGTAAGCATATATAAGAGCAAAAGGAGTAAAACTATAAGGTATTTAGGAAGCACTAAGCACGTTTAGCAAGTGATCAAAGTGGCTGATAAGCCAGTTTGAGATGTTTGGCAAATGAGTACTTATTTTTGTTTATAATCAATCAAAAAATACGCTACGTTTATACCCTACTTTTATGGATGGATTGTAGACCACAAGGGTTGACCAAGTAAAAGATGTTGGAAAAATTATCAAATAATTAAAAATTATAGCATGCAGATAAATCCGAATAAAATAAATAAGAGATTAGAAATTCAGGCCTGACGGGAGCAGTCGTGTATTCACTGCCCTAGAAGATTGAGAACCCGCCTATCACCCTGACGCAGATGGTTCCCTCCCCC